CGCGAATGTTCTTGTTCTTATGTTCTTTGAAAGGACGCTGCTTTCACAATGCTCTTCTGGATTATAAGATTATTAATGAAATGTTTTCGTTTGCTTTCTTTAGATATCAGCTGTCACTAACTCAACTGAATACAACATCGCAGTAAAGAGCCTAAATGGGAAGTGGGAGATTGGTAAGATACTCATGATTAAACATCCAACAGCACACCACAAGCATTGAAAGGCCGTGCAATAAGCTCTATATGAGCTCTTTATAAGCTCTAGAAAAGCTCAAACAGAGCTTGCTGAGATCTCCTGCCATTGGATGTTTTATAATAGCAGATAATTAACTATAGACAAATCAGTACAAATGTAATATAACCGACAAGTGATAAATATATATCTAACCGAATTCGCAAAAACATGCCCGCATTGACTCAGAGACAGTCCCAGCGGTCAGAAGTCCTCTGACCACCCCCCTTGCCAGGAGATTGGCCCCTCACGCATGCACGTGGCATGGACCACTCCAGCTGGGTGCCATGTCAACACAGCAGCCTCAAACAAGGTCAAACAACTGACTAAAATACCCAGAAACACAGCCAATATCAAGCTTATTTAACACTGAAAACGCAAGGTCTAGCTAGTTGGGGGTGTCAGTACAAGACACCCTCCCCTCCCCGTGCTTCTGACAGCTGGCCGCCAGCACGCCACCAGCAGATAGGCCAGTCATTGGGCATGTGCCCAGCCTGGCCTTAACGGAGCCCNTTAAGGTCGCTGGCTTAGCCTGATTCGTCTTCAGCCCGGCCTGGACGGAGCCCCCCAAGGTTTACAGTCGCTGATTAGGCCTGGATACGGGCTTCGCCCGAATCCAGGCGAAATCCTAGCGGCCATGTTTTTGCGAAATCGCTTAGATATATACATACATCAATTAACTCGTTAATCTCCGTTTTTCTTCACATTAATTTATTTAGGGAAGAGTTATGACACCGCAGAGGAACTAGTGGATGCCTTAAAATCCGGTGAAACGGACGCCATTTTTGTTGACATGTATCTGCCGTCAAAGCGTTCAGACCTATTTAATGGCACATGGTTCGAAGTAGCTCAGTTTGTCGAAGTTGATATTTCACACGGGATTGTTCTTCGAGGAGAAGCCATGAAAATGCACAAAGCTTTGGAAGATTTTATTACGCAGAACAACGTGCAATCGAATTATCTTTCATCCGGAGATAAGGTGTGAAGATTAACTGTTCTTATTGTTAGTATCTGTATTAAAATGTGCCTGCAAAACTCTTTTTTCGGTTGGGTCCTATATACCTGTTGTTAAAAATAGATGTTGAATGCTAATAGTGGTCAATGCGCTTAGCTACAACTATTGCTAGTTCTCAGAGGGCATGCCACTTAAACTGAGAGAAAGACTTATTTCAGATAAACACAATAGGCCTAAAAATCTCACCTCGCGGAAGGCAGACCAGTTTGCTAATACAAGCATCACCGAGGAGTTGAGCTAGGGTCTACCGAGAAACAACTCCAGCCTAGCTATTAGAGCAGGACTTGAACCCGAGACCTCTGGATCTTAAGTCCGCCGCCCTAGCCACTCGGCCCTGCTGCCTATCTTTCCATTTTGACGTTGACGACTATTTTAAGATTGATCTTGCTGTATTCATTTTGCCAGTCAAGCTAGCCCCACCTCAACTCAACCAATAAAAGTTCTTTTCAGCTTAAGAAAAGTTAAATTCCAGTTACCAATGACTGACCCAGACGGACAACGACATTACTCACTCTTGTTATATTAATCTATACAGGGCACGGCACCAGTTCACTCGCAGGAAGCCACTTTCTTTGAGATTAGCAGCCCTCATTTCACGGTGACGTTGATTGTTGTTGGTTCTCTACTTTGTTGTGCAATTGTTTGTGGGCTCACCTATGAGATTTTGCGTCGAATGAAAGAAAAAAAGCAAGGAAGGCTAGGTAGGGATAATTTCCTTTAAAGAAACGATCATTATTTTTTTAGTAAATAAGTGATCTGAAGAATGTATCATTTGTCTGAATAAACAGAACAATCTAGGCATTATTTTGTTACATATACCGCATGTATATATTATATTATGTTATATTATGTTATGTTATGTTATGTTATGTTATGTTACGCTCTATTATATTATATTTTATTGTTTCAAAAGTGATTTATATTGTCGCTAAACAATTAGACAAAAATTACAACGAAACTGAGCGAGCTGTTTTCTACAAGCTTTACTGATTCATAGTATCACAAGCTGATGTTATCATGCTTACTTTATCGCTGCTTTATGATTAATAAAACATGCAATTTAGAATTAATGTCTAGTTTGGTAATTGTTTCTAGATTTCGTAAAGAGAGACAAAGATGCTTTAACTAAAGAGCTACGCGAAGTGGTGGAAATGTTTCGACAATCGTTTATGGCTAGGATAACAACAATGAAGAGGAAACACAAAAAAGAACTTCAGCTTGTTAAGCGACTGGATAAACTCATCACTACCCGCCTCTGAACGATTTTGCCGTCGATAATTCCGAAGAGAAGGGCCATTGCTAGCAAATTCTTGCAGGATCACTCCAATAGTTTCTGATTGCCTTATCAAACAATTCAGCGGCAGTTGCTTGCGAGTATGCGCACATCACCATGGTGTCGTAAGGATATCTCACGCTGCCTAGCAACGTGACGGACAAAAACTGCGGGCTTAAACGATTATTGTCCAGCAACAGTTTCTTGTTCCGGCTCACAAGACAGATCTGACTTCACGCAAACATAGATACGTTCTTCACGAAACTCTGATTGAAAACCATCCTACCATATACATGTAATTATGTTATACCAAAAAGAACGGAAACTGTTTTGGCTTGTCAGATAATCTTTCGTTGTTACCTACTCATAACTGCTTAGTTAAATAATGCGATCCTGCTGTATCGGTTCTTGTCATGTTGGTGTCTCGAAACGACTTTCACGTAGTATCAGCCTTGCAGTCAATTGTTTGTCATTATATCTTTTTTGCTGAGATGTCTTGTAAATCCTACGTTAGCAGCGTTTTTCGTATGCGGTCCCCTGCAGTTTCTGGTTTCTCATTTAAATATTGCGCACGTTCTGAAAATCGCGCAATTTTGCTAGAATTACGTAACTCCGAAAACAAAGCATTGAAGAGCCTTCTGTTGACATTGTATTTCGATGCAGGGTGGAAAGATCCAGAATTGGCCAGGTTTTAAAAATAATAGTATTAATGAACTTTTTTCTAAGTCAGTATTTGTCACTTCTTATTTCACTAGATTTTAGTGTCGATCTTCATTCGCTTTTTTTTTTTTCTGATGAAAAGTGAAAGCTGGTTTTCACTGGCGTATAAGCTCAAGTATATAAGCAAGTGAAGATAGCCGAGAATAAAAGCAAACAATGTTCGTTATTTTAAATGCTGCTTTTCACTAGCAGATCAAACCCGGATTATTTGAAAGGTGGATAACGCTATCCACTGGATAAATCACTATCCGGCGGATAGCGTGGTTTGTTTTGTGAACATTTACTTGTTGGATAGCGATTTATCCTGTGCATAGCGTTATCCAGCCTTCGAACAACTGGGGCCAGGAGCATTAGCAACAATGAAAACAAAGTATATGTAGTGCGTATATGTAGAACGTATTCATACGGCAAATACTCATGATGTACGTTAATAGAAAAACTACTATTGTTAACCTTAACCTGAATTTGATACAATCGTTATCCTACCGTAAGATGGAAATGTAAGACGTTCAATGTAAAAGTATTGACAAAGAAAGAAACAAAATAAGTAACACGGCAGACTACAATAAGCGCGAAAAAACTCCTATTAATTATTTCTTGGTTTCTTTTTTCAATGAAACTTCTTGTTTTCTTTGTATTCCTCGAAATGTTTCTCGGTTTCATACACTACCGGTAGATCGACTCAATCTCTCAGAGCCAGAGACTTATCTAGAATTCGATTGTCTAGTAGACTCAGATTCCCTAAAGATATTAAAAACACTGACAATTTTTCTTTACAAGGGAAAATATTTTATATATTTGAAGTGTGGAGAAACATATGAAGACATGACTGATCATCGCAGCTATACATACAACTTAATTAAGCAGTTGTGAAATTAAAGCCTGAAAAAAATTCAGGCTTGAACGGAATTCGAACCCATGACCTCTAAGATACCGGTGAAGTGCTCTACCAACCGAGCTATCAAGGCAACTGGGAGCTGGTCACGTTGTGAGTTCGCAATATACCCGTAGATGGTGAAGAAACAAGTGAATATATTTCACATGTTTGAACATCTACATCTACATTTAATTTAGTCGGTAAAAATCGCAGAAACAAAGAAACAAAGAAACAAAGAAACAAAGAAACAAAGAAACAAAGAAACCCATTTCTACAAGACAATAATTCCTGATGCCTGATATCTGTTGGGAACAACTATTTTGCGCTAATTAGTATGTCCCCTAATTAGTATGGTGTTTTTATTTCCAGGCTATAAGGTTTTTGACACTTTAATAAAGTTCTCACTCACTCACTCTTAATCATGTAGCCCCGACTTTTGTATGGATTACTAGCGTGACTGTTAAAGTTTTTCTGACTTGCAATAAATTGTTGTCTAAGATGTCATAGTGTAATTAATTTTAATGAAAAGCTTTTAAGCTTGTCATTAAAATAAAAATACTCCAACGAACAGCTAGATCTTCTCAGATGTATTGCTTTCTATTTATACCTGGGATTCTTCTCATCGCAGCCATTGTTATGCTTAAATCATCCAATTGTTATTGACGAAGTTTGAAGTCCAGTTGCGGAAATGTTGACCGAATTCCTAGTATCGTTTCTTCGCGAAAAAAAAATACTTGATCAATATCTTTCTCTACATATTTGAAAATATTTACAATATTTTGTTAATCTGAGCCCAATGAACTTGCAATTGGTAAATAAGATTATTGTTATTATTTTTTTCCTAAATTACAAAAAGCCTGCTTAAGAACGACTGGCGCGGGAGTTGGAAAATTCTAGATCGCGAGTTTAACCAAACAGAAGGAAAAAACAATTAAATTGACTAAAACAACTTTGACGCTGAGAACAGAATCTTTACGAAGCCATTGGTTTTTCACTGGAATTTTTTTAAAAAGTTGTCTCTGAGAAAATCTCTACAAAGCCACCGGTTTTTCACCGGAAATTGTACATACCTTAGCAATATTAAGGTTCGTTGTTATAAACGGTCGATTCGATCATGTGTCAAACGATATTGTTATAATGTCGTGCATGATGTCAACGTGACATAAAATGTTTGGTGTTTAACTTAACGATCTCAGTCTTGATGCTCTTGTTCTCGTTCATATTATTAATAATTTAAGTAGTCGTACTGTCTTCGTTTTGAGATTTTTGAAGGAAGTCTTTCCCATTGGCGCCATTGCAAAGGAGCTCATTCAACACCTGCTGAGTCGTAATTATGAGTCTGCTTTGAAACTGATCTAAAGTGCTTCATTCCGTATAATATCATGACTTGTTACGCAGATTACAGTCTAAATGTTTCTTCTTTGGTAAATTGTCTTTTGTAATGTGAATTTCCTTCGCCAACCACGTCAAGTTTATTGTGTGATTGGTAGATACCTATTCGAACGATGGACATCAAATTATGGATTTCAGATCTTCATTTTTTCATCGCAGTTGCCTTTATCATACAGGTACGTTTTATTTTAATACAGTCCGTAAAAATAAAATACTAGAACAGCGAGAATACCACTATGCGTTATCTTTCTCTCGGGAAGTATAATTTTTTAGAGTTGTTTTATTGAGTGCTTACCATACGGTAAAAGTCGTGTTTTAAATCTCTCTGCGAGCCAATAACTGTTTGCATTAATATGCAAAAACATCCTTGGCCGGCACTTTCACTATACTTCATGTTAGACGATGTGGTTCGACTCTGGAATGTCAACGATTCATGTTATAAGTTGCGTCGGTTTACGCAATCTCCTTTTTCACTTTTCGGGTTGTTTTATTTCCCATTTACCACATAAAAAAATATCAAACTTGTTTTGGATGCTAGGAAAACACTGTCAGAACTAATTGCACGTAAAACAATTCGACGCCAGAATGTCCAACTGTTTCGTGAAACATGTCAGCTTTGGTTTGAATTTGTCTTATTTCACGTTTTGCGTTCCATTCTTTGTATTACCCGCCTACAACACGAAGATATCATAATCGATTAAATATTTTTATGGCAACAGCGTAGTCTATTTTCCATGTCACGGATACAACCCACTTAATGCGTGAAAAGAAAGGAAAGTGGAAACGAGCAGAAAAATATATGTATCTCAGTCGAGGCTTGAAGTCAGAAGTAACTTTGATTACCTTATATTTTGTCTTTTTGCAGGTACAATATGGCATTATTACATGTTCTTCAAGTAAGTGATATTATGATGACAATAATGATCAAACTGACTGGCTATTTAAAATGCGAGTTCATTAAGACACGAAACGTTTAATTTGACCCCAATATAAATCGTCAGTCCTTTAGACACCAAGTGCATGGCGCCCAGGCGAATATTAATCTCAAAGTCAAATCGAATTTTCACCGCAGTACAGCCACTTAACGGGTATAGGTAGCGTTTTTCTCAAAACATGTCTATAGATTAATAAATCGAGTTTCATACTTTTGAAGAAAGTATTTCTAGAGGGTGAATTGTTAGTTAGAGAACGAAATAATTGGCGCTCTGAAGATAACAATACATGAACGAAGAGAGACTCTTCATCCATCAGATTAAAGTTATGGTCAGCTCTTTGGAAAACAAACATTTTTTGGTTCGTGTCTAACAGGTGTAGTGTATATTTTGGAAGAGGTTGAGAAAAATGTCAACTTTTTTATAGACTTATATCTAAATCTAGTAGTGACGAGACCTTATCTCATTTTAACTGAGTCTACCTTATCCCGAGTCTACCCTATATCCTTTCCTCTTTGTCTCCACTCACTCCCCCATATACTAGGAAAAATATGAATCTAGCCAACCTAGTTACAAGAGTGTTCTCCTTCTCGTCCCTGGAGTGAGAAAGGGGACGAGTGGACCCTAGGAACGAGGTTGTAATCTAGCCTGCGTGGCAAACTTAGCCAAAAGAGAAAATATCGAAGGAGGAGAGAGAGAATGCGTTTAACATAAAGGTGGGGGATTGGTGGTTGCGGGGTCATGGTGCGGTCCTCCCTCGGTCGCACTTCTCTTCTTTAAAAGGCCTAAAAATTGCTTTATCTCTAAGATATTAGTCTCAGACTGAACTGGTCATTCGCAGTCAACTTTTGTCAAATAACATGTCATTATTTTTGTTTTCTCATCTTTACAGATTGCTCAGATGGCTGGGTAAAGTTCGGAAGATTCTGCTACATCTTTAGTAACAAAAGCCTCAATAGAACAGAAGCGGTAGACGAGTGCGAAAATTACGACTCACATATTACGATTTTGAGGGATGAAGAAGCAAACAATTTCTTGGTGTCACGCATGGAAAGTTCTTCCGCTTGGCTTGGGCTAAGCGACGAAGCTAGCGAAGGGAACTTTGTATGGCCTTTTAACAAATCTATAGATAAATATTCGTACCAGAACTGGAACGATAGCCATCCTAAAACGGGTAACGCTGGTGAAAATGTCGACTACGTTGAAATCGACAAAAGCACTGGGAAATGGAATAACATATATGGAAACGAGTCTATAGGAAATATATGCGAGAAACTCGGTAAGGAATTATGTACATTCATAAGTAGGTACGTCCATATTATTCTTGTTTGCCATTTATTTGCCAATGGTATTTGAAAACTTAACCATATGGGCCTTTTTCGTTGTACATAGTGGAACTTCCCTGGGTGACCCGGTCCTGCAGACAACTCGGAACCAGCTGATTCCGCAGAGACAAAATTTCCCCCATTGTCAAATCATATTGCATCGTGTTTCATTTGTTCTAGGGAACTGTCAGGGTATTCCATGCAGAAAAGTGCACCCTGCGATAATCAATGTGCCAGTCAGTGGGTCTGAAGCAATAGATGTACTTCTATTTCCGCCCTTTACGCTACTTTTAACCTCGACAAGTGTTAAATGAAGGAAATAGATTCCATGTTGCCGTGCGTCTGTTCAGTATTAGTATAAATCTACTAGCGTTCTATCACGAATGCCGTTCTCTGATTGGCTACGCAACTCACTATCTATTCTGTGATAGATCGTGAGTAGCGTAGCAGTGTGTGTTTGTTAGCAAAATGACGGCCTCTTCTTGGCGTTTTCGAAGTGTCTGTGAAGAGGATTTGGATAAAATTTTGAACGTCTAGTAGATTTATACTAAAACAATTAGATTATTCGCTCTCGATTTCTATGCGTGATAGTTGACTCGGTCTGCGCCCTCCTCAATTATTACGCGATAGAAATCTCGAGTTCATAATCAACAACAACAACAATTTATTGGTATTCCCATATAGATGGTGTTACCTAAATGCAGAATCGCTAAATNGAGAAGCTTCCATTAGTGTTAAAAGTAACGCCAAGGTAGGTGTACTGTGAAGCCTTGGCAATTGGATTTCCATTTAGAAAGAAGGAAAATTTGTCACGTGTTGATTTACGATTTTGTTTTTGGAAAATTAGGGTTTGCGTCTTTTTTAAATTAATTTTTAATAACCATTTCTCGCTATAATTTTGGAGGGTATTAAGTTGGTTTTGATCTAATTTTAATCTAATCTAATTGTTTAATGGATCACAGATGACGTCAAAATGTGGTAAGAGCAAAAACGTGGCGGACGAGCCGTTAGCCGAGTGTGTCATTGATGTTCTTACCAAATTTTGACGTCTTCTGTGATCAGTTACTGAACAGAACCACGGCAACTTGTAATCTATCTGTTTTATCTAATAAATAAACAAATAAACAAACAGACAAACAAACAAAGAATGTTAATTCGTCATCTATACGTCTGTCTTCCAATTTATCATAAGTAAAAACAAACAAAACGAGAGAATAATTTGACTTATTATATAAAAAATAAACTTTGTACTTTGATGCAGGTCTATCCCTTTTATTGTAGTTTAAAATATTGAACTTTTGTAATCGTTTTGTTAGTTTAGTAGGAACGCGACTCCACTGACAAGCTAAAAGCTTGATATGCAATCGTGTTTGAATAAAGGTTGTATGTATGAATGCTATGGAGGGAAACCCGAATTAAACACCGGCCTAAAAAGCCACAATGGTTTGAAACCAGGCTCAATCGCCATTTAGCTCATTCAGTTGCAATCAAAATTTCACTTCATATAACATCAATTCCAAGTTGTTTTAATAGTGAAAAAACCTTCACATAAATACTAATCTGTCTTCTTATTTGTCCCCACTGGCAGCTGAACAATCCCCCGGTGAGAATTGTACCACTAATGCACTTGGAATGGAGTACGAAGGCATTCCTGACGATAACATAACATCTAATAAAGACGATGGACAAAATCTAGCACCATACGGTCGACTGGGACACTCAAGTGGCTGGTGTACTTTGCCTAACCAGCCAGTAGAGGGATATCTACAAGTCACTTTGAGTACCATTTTCTTTATATGTGCCTTTGCCACTCAAGGCCACTTTAAGAGTGACATCGGTTTTGTTAAAACATACAAACTTAAGCTATCTACATCTGAGAATGAGTGGGATTTTTACAGGAACAAGGATGACGCTGAGGTTAGTAATGGAAGGGTCTGTCAGCATTTGTAGTTTAATAACGTAATTTGATTCAAACTTGTTAATCATGTTTCAACCGCATGTGACACCCAGAAAGAGATAGATTAGGCGAGTATCAAAGTAAAGTACCTTTGAACAACTTGGAACCAAACAGCGCGCATTATATATAGAGAATACTACATGGCGGCACGAGATATGAATTATTTTTATTATTATTCATTTATTTACGGACGAGTGCAGCGAGTGAGTAAAATATTGTTTTATCACGAGAAAATAAATTCATAGACCAAATGAATGTTTGCACAAATAACGGTGAAAAAGCGGGAAATTTTACTGTGAAACATTCATTTGCTGTCCATATACAGTAATAAATAAGTTATATCCTGCATGTAGATATTGATTCATTTTTTTATCATTTTTGTCGGCAGATCATTGTCTTTAAAGGAAATACCGTTAACTATAAAAAAGAGAAACAACTGCTTCAAGATGGTGTGATGGCTAAAGAAGTGCGTTTCTGGCCAGAAACGTATCAACAAAAACCTTGTATGAGAGTTGAGATATTCGGAGAGGAAGCTAGACCAGGTATATATCATAATTACAAATGTAGTTCATGTAGCATAATTTTGCAATTTTGATTTGTTTAATTGCTTTTTGTTTTACAAAATGATTGCTATGAAACTTGTTTGTGATCCATTACAAATGGCTAAATATCTGTCTAGATGCGACGCTCTTCCCAGAAGGTATTGAAGTGATGAACACAACTTACAACTACCTGGATGTCCGGTGGAGGGACACTCGTCCAAACTTCTTCCTCTATGGCCGCCTTCAGGGATACCTAGTTACTCTAGAAAATATGGACGACCCTAGTGAAGAGGAAACTTTGATATTTACCAGCTGTCACTCAGAAGGGATAAATATCACTAATCTAAAGGAAAATACGACGTACTGTGTTTATATAGCGGCTTTTACTGAACACGGAAAAGGGAACAGTACCTCGTGTATGATGGCAGTTACCGGAGAAAAACGTAGGTTTGGAATTTGATTCGGTTTACATGTAGTTTTCAGCTTCAAACTATGGATCTTTACAAATAAGGAAGATGTGTTAACTGTGAAACGAACGTCTCCATCCCCTCCTAATTATAAGAAAATACGTCGTACGAATCTCAGAAGCAAAAAAAGCTCCCTATTAGTAATCACCTCAACCCTGAATGTAAGCCAGTGCGCTTATATTTAGATAGAAATAAAAATTGAAAGAAAGACTAATGATGTAGTTTTACTCAGCTTTCATACTTGTATATACTGCTCACTTGAGAAGCTAGTTTCATGTTCAGTGTATACAGCTATGTTCTCACAGCGATATCTCACTATATACGAACCTCTAGTTTAAAACAAATAATTCACGCCGAAGAAAAGTTTTTCCTCTCCTCCTTTGCAACCTCTGCCGCAACGTGTAAGGCACAAAAATAACTGACCTTGTCTTATTTGGCAACTTCTGGGATATTTTTGATGCTATCATGTGACAACTAAAGCGTTTTCAATTAAAATTGAAAAAACTTAATCTCAATTACAATGAAGAAAGTTTTATTGCTCATGATAAAAAGTAGCGGGATTTAGTTTTGAAGGTTGGGTCAAACGTCGAACTTTGAGTCGAACCTTTACATCAGGCTCAATTTTGGATGTATTGCGGCTGATGTCCACCCCTGACGACAATTTTACGTGTTAAAAGCCATATTGCCCGTGGACCATAGCCTTAGACAGAAACTTATATATAGTTATTGTTATCTTATATCCAACAGCAAAAGTGGATTTCACTGCATTCAACGAAAGTTCCACATCTATTAGGTTGAACTGGAAGGGAGAAATACCTCTTCCCATTAATGACAGCGTTGACAGAGGAATTAAAATAGATTATTACCCCAGCACAGAGGAAAATTTAACACTTAGCACACTATTTTGCGACGATAGTACGACCAACGAGTTCAGTAATTTGCGCATATTTACCAACTACTGTTTTAGCGTCGTCGCTTTCTACAATGATGACATTGTTACTAAGTTAGATAACACGAAATGCGTGTACACGGACGAAGAAGGTATGTAAATGGTTCTATAATTTACGACCACTGTGTGTTTAAATGAAATAATGCATTTTAAAGTTACGCAGTCTACTTAGTAGATTATGTCTTCGTAGTAAACCACGAACTTGACTGGTTTCATTACTTACTTAAAATTGTCGCAAATCGAATTCTTGTTGTTCTTCATGTGACACCGTAACTCATTTTGCTCACTGAAAATTTGGGTTCGATTTTTATCTGTCCTCCAGAATGTCAAATTCTTTGTGATGCACAGAGCCACAAGCGTTGCCAGTAGTATATGGTATTGACTTTACGTAGTGAAGTCATTGACAAAATTTTCACTTATGTCATGTTTTGCCGTGGCGAATTTTTACGTGCCTGGGTAGCCAGTCCCACACACAACCCTCCTCCTTCATCCGAGCTTGGGACCGGCAGGGGTGTTCCAATTATAGGAATGACCCCAGGCGGAGTTACCGTGATGGAAGTTGTTTATAACTGAATTGCCTTGACGCACTTCTGAATTTTAACACCAAAAGAAATGGGCTGAAATCAGTGAGAATGACTGATATTTTGACCTAGAATGAAAGTTAAACGTTTTTTTTCCTTCTAGCTCCCCGCGGACCACCTTTGGATGTCAAAGCTCAAAATGCAAGTTCCACCGGTATCAACGTAACGTGGCAACCAGTTGAAGAGAAGTTACAATATGGAATTATACTTGGGTACCGTATCAGATACAAAAAAGAAGCTTCGGCGGCGCCATTAATTCTGCGAAGACGTCGAAGCATAGACCTCCTTGAAACCGAAGTGCTTGGAGGAAACAATCTTACTTGGACACTGGAAGGACTGGAAATGTTCACTAACTACTGCATTCAAGTTTTGGGTTTTAACAGTAAAGGTGACGGAAATACGAGTGACTCGATCTGCGTTATGACAGACGAGGACGGTAAGCGCTAAATAACATCGTTATAATTTAAGACCAAACCAAAAAGGGTTTATCTCTTCGTCATCAGCTAGGTTTAATTTGCAAACTTAAACATGATTGCATTTTTATTCTGAGTTCAGTTCAGGAACTCTCCCTGACCACTAATCATCAGCTGCCAACTACCAACAGCGATAACCTCTCACTGCATGTACAGTTCGTGAGATTTGCAAGTTAAAAAAAAAAAAAAACTAAAAAAAAACAACAAAAATCCTTATTTGTGCAATAGCACAAACAGTACAAGATGGGTACATACACCTTTTGGGCATACAGTCATGCATCTGCACTTATGGCTCCTGCTCGTAGCTCTAATGATCAATTAATCTCATTTCATAAAATTTCAAACGCCACAGAAAAGTAAACAGAAGACTGCTAGTTTTGTATAATCAAAATACTATTTAGACGAAATAAGAGAAAACGTTATCTCGTTGTTTTAAGATTATGATGGCATCTTTTGCTTAAACAGTGCCCACTATGCCACCAAACATCATAGGGGGATTCAATCTCAGCTCAACAAGCCTTACAATCGAATGGAGTCACATACCTCCTGAATTTGTCAATGGCATTCTGTTAGGGTATCTGATTGCGTACCAGATAAGCAACGAGGCTGGCAGTTCCCAAAACGTTCCCATAGAACTCGAACTTGGCGAGTTGTCTAAGAATATTACAGACTTACTTGTGTACACTGAGTACTGTGTTCGTATAGCTGGGAGAACGAGAATTGGGACTGGAAACTGGAGTGAGTGTTTCAACATTACGACAGACGAGGAAGGTAAAGCGACTATAAAGCAACAATTCTAATCTCGCTCTAAAGTAGAAAGTTGACAGGTATACACAGAATTACAGGCTGTTCAGTAGTAGCATGTAATATTCAAAAGTCTTTGAGAGTCTTGAAAATTTGTGAAGTGCAAGTAAACTCAAACTTTCTTCCTTCTTTCCCTTTTCCCTTCTAGTCTTCCTTTATTCCTCCCTTTCTTCCTTAACTCTTTAGTTTCTCTCTTCCTGTCCTTCCAAACGTCTTTCTTTGTATTCATCCTTCCTCGTCAATATGTCTTAATTTTAATTCTTGACTTTTTTTTGCGCTACAATCATTCCGCTTATGTTATTGGCACCTTTCAGCACCATCTTCACCGCCAATTGACGTAGCGGTTATCGAAGGGACCATTCCCAATACCATAAATATGTCGTGGAACCCACCTTCCGAGCTCAACGGCAAGTTAACTGGATACAAAATCGTCATTAATCGCACTTTAGAGAACGGTACTCTACAAACAACAGAAATTGTGACTTGTGCCAACAAGGCCACTGTAACTGGAATCGATAAGCGTAATGAATACAAGATCAAAGTAGCTGCCAGCACAAGGAAAGGGTTAGGACCTTTCAGTGAATGCATAGTGTATGGAGGTAATAATAGTGACTTATATCATTTTATCATATATACACCTATGAAACACCAGGTGAGCTTTCGAGCGTAAACATGTTGAGTTGACTTGATGACTTTAATAATTTATACACGCTAAAAATTCCTTCAGCATAATTTAAAAGTATAACATCTAAGTCTACCTAACTAAACTAACTAATGTCACTAACTGATGTCACTAAAGCTGCTTTTCAAGGATGCCACGTCTCATTCAAGGCAGCTGTAATGACGCAGTTTAGCTTTAAACTATAGATCGGAGTTTATGAGAAAGGCTGTTCGCCAACATGACAACCCTGTAGGAAAAACCTCGCTTAAAATAATTGGTGCGGGGCTGTAGAAAAGCCAATTTATTCTGAGAATTCCTCAGTCGATACGAAGTTATATCATTTTGAGATACGAATCGAGATTGTGGATATTCAGGGGTCAATCCATTGTACAGTTTTAAACATCATAACAGAGGTGGCTACTAGCTTTTGATGACTAAGTTTTCGCCAGCCGAGTGCCTGGAACAGCTTATCAATATCGTCTTCATTGCCGGCTTCCGTGCAATAAAATACGGGCTGCGCGGCTTTGGAGCTTCTGTAGTTTTCCAGAAAGGCCGACACCGCAATTGCCCTAAAACAACATTACAATAATCAAAATATTTATGGTTGAATTAAACTATTAAACACATTAATTACAACATTAAAAGGAACAAGATACGGTATTCTTTCAACTGCACGCAAAGCAGAGGCAATCTTTTTTACAATCCAGTTTAAGTTTTGATCAAAATGTACCCCCAGCGATTTCGTGGATGGAACCTGCATCACTGGATAGTCACTTGTCGTAAAAATAGAATTTCAGAAATAGTTAACAGCCTCTGCCTCGACGCAATTAACATAAACTCGGTTTTGTTAAGCTAAGGGTGAGTTATCTTTTGTTATGTTAAGGGTAAGTTATCTTCACACGTGAAAAGATCACTGTTCCTATGGTTACATAAAGGTTCGTGCAATTTTGAGAGAATATTCAAATATCAAACGTAGTGCACTCGGATTCATACAATTACCTATACTTTTAACCCACGGCATGCTCCCATCTAGTCTCGTAGCTCAGACAGTGGAGCAACGGCAGATTTTACGCAGCTGACAACAGACAAGGTCAGATTTCCCGGGGTCGGGGATTACTCTCAGAAAAATTGAGTGGGGTGTTTGGCCTGCTTCTCAAAACCCATACCCTATTTAGGGTCAAAATAGCCTAAATCGATACCCTATCTGACTAATAAGGCTTTAAACCATATCCTTGGGGCCGTACATACCCATATAGGCCATTTAAGGGAGTACTCCCCGGGTCACATTTACGCCAGCTGAAGTCCCAGGTTACGGTTTTTACTTTAGTTACATTCTTTTACTTTACAACAACAACAACTAGATACATTTGCATGACCATAAATCCATAGTGTTGCAAAAGCTTTTGAAAACTAAAACTAAAACTAAAACAGTAACGATTATCGTGATGATATAATAATGTTATGATATAGCAATCAAGTTACATTGGTTTGATTTGAAAGTAGAATATTGCGTAGATCAAAGCAAGATGAAATAAATTTTGCTAATTGAATATTGATTTAATGATTTGAAGAAGTCATAAGTTTGCCAATGGCTTGTAACGAAGATAATTGCTTAAAAGTCGGAATCAGGATATGTTCTATTTTTTTTATAAAATTTATTTCTTACAATAGAGCATTTATTGCAATATATAAGAAAGTGAGATTCGTCTTCAATTTGTGACTGCTTATTGCTTACAGTAATTGTTTATGAAATCTAATCTACATATCATTTCAGAAAAATGCGATTGTCCAGAAACTTTACAAGTTGTGGCAAAACCTAGTCATCTAGACGAACATGATGGCGTAGGTTCGTTGGCAGCGCTCATCGAGTCCTTGATCATAGACGCGTGTGGCATCTGTGAACATTATGAAAATGGCGGGAAAACAAAGATAAATAGAACGTTGGCAAAAGATACCAATATAACATTTCCAGTAATAAGATACCTCGATGGCGCTGAATCAACAACTGAAAGTAGGTTTGTGACTGTAATCGAGGTGCCAGGTCTCGCAGTAATTCACAGGAAGCCGGAGAAGAAGTTAGGTTTCTATGAAGAAGTGATGGGTTCGTCCGTCGTGAACTCTTGGCCCATATTTGCAATTTTTGGAACAATGACACTTGCAGCTGGCATGCTGATTTGGATACTGGTAAGAAAAATAAATATCTCTCTTGGCACCCGGAGAGGGAGGGGGAGGAACTCTCATGTCAAAGGGTGGAATATTAATCGTCTCGTTTAAAGGTGTACTTCGAAAATTATGAATTTTGCTACCACTCGGGACAGCCAATGTTTTCAAGCCACGCGGGGTGTATTTTAGGGTTGCATTCCGAAAAAAAATACCAATTCGTGTTTATGATTTACGTCAATCTGTAATGAAACATTTAAGATTTTTTCACAGATGAAGAAATTCGATGAAAATATCATTTAACTTATGTAGCACATTTTTGTATGTCTGTTTTAGAGTTGCATCTTTTTGGGTCAAATAAAATTTGAGTCACGCTCAGATCGAGCATCCCCTCAACTTCTACAAGGATATCTCCCCCCCGGGTTTTAATTTGCCGATAAAACGGCGTAATTTTCTAGTTTGCTATTGTTTAGGTCATTTTAAAAAAGTATCTAAAGGTTGAAATGCAATTATGTCATGACTGTAATCAAGAACAAGTTCTAGGTTATACTGATTCAGCAGGTTGTTGCTAGAGCACAAACATCTACGAACTCATAGTTCAGTGGACTCAAAGATTTGCAGTATAATTCATTCTGATCACGCTTTTACTTCGCTCGTATTCCTGGAGTCATAGGTCTTCCTTTTAATAGGAGAAAAGGCTACTTGCTAACTGGTTCTCTCTAACACAATTCAAATATTTTAAATCATTGTTTTTTAGTATGATACTTAATAACATCACTTCCTTAACAAATTAGGATGTGAATACCAACCCGGAAGAATTTCCACCGTCATTCCTCAAAGGAGTTGGTGAAGGATCATGGTGGGCATTTATCACCATGACAACGTTGGGGTACGGTTATGTGTATTTTAACTTCAGATGAAATAGAAGAGCAATAAATGGTAATGAAAAAGACAAACTGACCAAAGGCAAATGCATAAATTAAAGTTTTACTTGACCATAGCACGATGATACTGGGTAAAATCTGACCGTAGTTTACAAGTAGTCAAGAAACTGAGTTACATAACATATAGCAGCTGGCGCTGTGGCATTTTTTGAGATGTACTGCAGGAACAAAAACCAAAGTACAATATGTACAAGAGGTCAAAAACCTGACCTAAAAGGAACAGACAATTCGCCTTCTTGTGTAATGGCATTTTCGTTATTTTTGCTACAGGTTGTGGCTTTCTTCTGACTTTAAAGGTCGGCAAACACTAGGGGACCTGAAGCGGGGACAAGCCCCCTCATGTGTACCCGTAGGATGCATGTTGCAGGGACAGTAAGCAAGCTGGTGCACACGAAGCTGATGTTGGTTAATTTCCATGTCGTAGAGAAGACAGTTTGTAAAGCTGAAAAATTGAGATTCAAAAAATTGAGGCCATTTTTATCCTGCTTCATGACGCTCGAATTCAAACCAGCTGAACTTCTTGCAACGTGTTGTGGGAAAAAATGGCTCTGAAAGAGATCTAGAACTATTTAGCAAAAACCGGCATGTCACAAGAGGAAAACTGCCGCTGCGACATGTCCCCGCTTCATTTCCCCGTAACATGTCCCCCAGTGCGTGCCGACTTTTATATCGTAATGGCTGCCGCTAATATTATGTTACCACATTATTGCAATAATAATTTTCTTGGTTTTGATCTTAATTTGATCGTGATCTAGCCTGTTGTTGCTATGTTGCAGGTATGGAGATCGAACTCCTAAGTCAGATGCAGCTAAGGCGTTCGCCATGATCTGGTTTTTAGTCGGACTGGTCATGTTCGGGTTGTTTTCTGCTGCAGTTACTGCTGCTCTCACTGTGGTTGTTGTAAATGGAGGACCCGCTGCTGAATCAGAGAAATTGCTGAACGTGAGTATCATACCNAAGATTTTAAAAGAGAAATCATAACTTCGCATTCACGAGTTTAAAATGAATTGAAAGGTGCTATGATGGCTTTACCCACCTATGGCAACATTTTATCTTAAAACACGATCCAAGATATTTTATGATAAAATCTCCAGCTGAACTGTAGGCGTCTCGCAAATTACTTTCATTCATGTTGCAGATCTTTATATATTTTTTCTCTACAGGAAGACAATGCCAAGATGAAGACGATATGAGAAAACTGGTGGAAGATTTTTATCTTAATTTTACTCGCACATACAAAATTATGAGAAAGAAAAACAAGAAGTTGATCAAGCTTAATAAGAAAAGTACCCAGTACGTTAAAAAAGAGCTCGACAGTGCTGAGTTATGGTAGCCACAGCTAGCAGCTGCAGGAACGTGGAGGCTTCGGCGGTCTTATTTAGCCTGGGGCCCGTTTCTCGAAGGTCCCGAAAGGTTTTCGCACCCAGAGATTAAAAGCCGTAGCAAAATCTCAGACGCTAGGATTACAGAGCCGTTTTATTTACATATTCTTACAATGAACAAAAGTTTCCTTCATACAAGAAGTTTCATGCGTATACACCCCTCTGTTTTTAGATACCGATTAACTAAAAATGGCTTGCGGGCACGAAAAGGTTCCAGGGCTCCTGATGCGTGTGCTGTGCAAATAAACACAAAATTGAAGGATTGCCGTTACATCCGTTGACATGACCGCAAATGGGTCATGAAATGTGGTCAACTTTGGCATCAGAAGAGTGTTCGAATGCATACCACAGAATTGACCAACTGACTTAATCCTCTTTCCGGCCCCCTTATGAGGCATAGGGCCTCTATCATAACTTCTTCATCGGATTCTGTTCTTCGCAATCTTTACGGTATACAAGAGTAAGAAGGACACAAATAAAAAAGAGAGAAACAAAAAATAAGTAACTATGTGGAGGTGCGGTGGAAAGAGCCTTGCTCCCAATTTAATTCTTTTTTCTTTACCAACCTCACGGCCACCTGTCATCATGGTTCTTAGTTTTTAAGGCTGTAATAGGCGAATTGGCAGTTATATGCAACTATTTCACCATTTGTGAACTTCTTGTCACTGTAGTAAAGGTTTGCTGCTGCACCTCAACGAAATTTACTCTGTGGGATCTTTGTTCAAGTTAAAGTAAAGGTACTATTCAAGGCTGGACTCGGCCTCATTTTCTTTAAATATAGTGAACCCTCTCTGACATCGCCATTCCCGGAATCATTTCTTGCTCTTCCCATTAGAGAAGTGTCTGCTGACCGGGAGTTTAGATTAAGGTAATATTCGGCCAGGACCAGCCAACCAACTATGTCCACCTGCGGCCAGGTTTCCGCCTTTCATTGGTGTCCATTTTGAGGAGTTGATTGTAACCTACGTTCATTGCCTGTCACGAGCATGGGAGAACGTAGAATATTTCCACGTCTTTTGATGGGAATCAAAATCATTTTATTTGGCAGGTTGGTCAGATGCTCGCAGCTAAACACTCAGCCAAACTGAATTTCGCTAATCGCAAGCATAAGAGTTCTGATTCCCTGATTCATTCGTAGTGACCGAGTGTTCATTGACTTTCAGTTTCCTTAATTATCACGCAGCCGAACTTCCTTTAGGTTATTTCTGAACGATTATGTAACATTAAAGCAATCGTTCATCAAGGGAGAAATTGAAAACTACCGTAAACTGAGGTCCTTGTTCGAATGTCATACGCAAGATGAACCTAGAAACTCTACTGGATCAGGGATGCCGTAGCTTCGATCTATGCAATAATTATTTAATTAGGTTTTTTTAAAATGCTTTTATTTTCACGAAACTTTTAAATACAATAATTTTTAAATTTTTATTAGGTTTGCAACTTGTAAATAAACTAATTTTAAAACTATTCTTAGGTTTCCTAATTTCTTTTTAGGTAGTTGTCCTGTATTCGTGGAGGGTTATCCCTAGGCTAAAACAATTTCGACACAT